GTTTTCGAACAACGGTTTGAATTTGAATGTTTCAAACTAGACAGAATTTACTCAGGAGAAGAACCATGCCGATCCTGACTTTTAGAGATGTTGGATAAAGGAACTGGCCATGTCGACGATGTAACTGAGATACACAATCAGGGATTTGGCTCTGTTCTACACATTGATGATTTTGTGTCTCCGCACAATATGAACGTTGCGAGCTACCCCAAGTTTGATGGCCTTGTGGCCGAGCACGTCTGCCTCTACGGTAGGTTGTAGAATGAACTGAATGAGTTAATGATCCACTCTTTGCTCAAAGCCTAAGATAGAAAATATTTCCTTTGGCATAACCTCAATACGCTTTTTTAGGCTAAAAGGGGTTATGGCAGAAGCGTTGTTATTAAAGGGCTTTATTTTGGGTAGCTTTTTCTCGATGGTAGCTGCTCAAGATCGTCTCGTGGTTTCATGCATAAGTAAAAGGAGTTTGGAAGGCTGAGTGGTTTTTCCCGTGAGCGCTTTGTGCTTGTCTCGCAGTTGATTTTGTTACTGCTAAGTGGCGAAGATCGCTTGTCCTGCCAGTGTTTTATTCTCTCGGATGAGTTTGCCATGGGAAGGATGACTTTAGGCATAGCATTGAGCTCTCCTCCGACTTATCCGATTACCTTGTGTAGAGCGGCATTAGATTTAAGTCCCGGGTGACGACCTATAGTGGCAGACATCGTCGAAATGAGAGGTTATAGCGCGCACAGTGATCACTTTTACTGCCTCATAACGGTCATAGATGTGTTAAATAAAGACGCCTAGACCAGTCTTCTCAAAAGCAAAAAAGAAAAAATAAATAAACTTCTGTCGTTGGTGCAATTCATAGCATTATAGAGATCACAGTGAGCCAGATTTCCATTACTCAGATATAAGCCAATAGTAGACTTAATGGGAGAGAGGAGTCGCTCACACAGAAGACCCAGGAAGCTAGCGAGCCAGTAGCGCTTTTTGCATATATATATATATATATATATATATATATATATATATATATATATATATATATATATATATATATATATATATATATATATATATATATATATATATATATCCAGAGTGAAAAGTAATGACACGAGACAGTAAAAAATTCGCGATAATATCATAATTAATTATATTTTGTAGAATTAATAATAATATACGTGTGGGAGTTTTGTAATTGTTATTGTTGTGGGGTTTTCCTCTATGTCGTCCCTACTGAGATTCGAACCACTTTCCATTCTGTGTCTTGTATAATTGTAACTTATTCCATTAACTTCCATGTGCCTTTATTTTGTGCGTGTAAGTGTGTGCTTATGTGTGTGTGTGTGTGTGTTTGTGGTGTGTGTGTGTGTGTGTGTGGAGAGAGATAGAATTATATTAACTTCCATGTGCCTTGATTGGTGTGCGATTGTGGATAGTGATCGAGAAGTTATGCTTATTAATTTCTACATTGGTCGCAACAAAACATAAATAAGCACATCTCAATAAATCAAAAATAATTACGACGGAAATGAATCAACATTTATGATGTCGTATCTTAGTTTCAATTGTAATATAAGATATTTAGCATTTCAGAAATGTTAAATTTTAGATTATGGTCAACAATATTTTTGAAAACAATTAATAGCAAATATATGTTCAAGTGGTAGATATAGGAAAATCACATGATTATTACATGGAATAGAAGAATATACTTACATGTGTGGGTATACATTCGCTCTTATAAATAATATCCAATCCGACAACCAGCGTTGAAAGATAACAATACTATATGAAAAAAGCACTCAGAATAAGGAATGCAATTGTAATTTACACATGAAATAGTTTTTTCATTTTCTTTTTAATTTTCATATTTCATTCTATGAATATCCACATAGTACGTGAAAAATTATTATCGTTGTATCAATTTGCATGTAGGAAATATCATTTGAGGATATATTTAGTCAATTTCTAAATGAAACCACAGTTTCGCAAAAAAGAAGAAAATGCATTTGTATATTTATTATATCGGCATTTCACCCGAGATAAGAAATATATACCGATATACTTAAAAGAAATATATAATCCATTTGACTACAAACGTTCTAATATAAAATTATAATCATTGTTTTCAGTTGCTTGATTTTAAAATTTGTTATATATATATATATATATATATATATATATATATGTGTGTGTGTGTGTGTGTGTGTGTGTGTGTGTCTGTTATAAGTCTCTTAACGGATATTTTGTACTTGTCCTTGACATTTGGTGTTCATGTGGCATACTGTCATAATGAAACGTGCTGATGATTATTATAAATAAAGAAAGAAAATAGACAAGACTTGAAGATACCTATTTGTTCAATAAAGTGATTACTTACTGCGTCTCTGCTGCATAGTTTGAGTTTGTTACATCTGTAGGGAGCAGTATCTTGCTCGCATGCATAACATAGTAGTCCACTGTTCGGCGGCAATCCTATTAGCGCAAACAAAACTATATACTGTAAACGAAGTGGACAATTAAACTAACTGTCGCAGTAAGGAAAAAAATCCGGTTCGTCCGTCTCTCACTAGGGCACAGATATCATTGGACTCAAAAGATAAGATCAGAAACGGCAGTTAGAACGTGATTTCATAAACCTAAGCCTCTTCTCTTACCTTGACATTGATGGTCAAATGTCGTTCTGATTCTCCTCTCAAAGCTGTCAAAATCCATTCTCAACAGGACTCAAAGTACTTAGAATCGAAGATAACCTAATTGTGACGGGAGGAGAAATAAAGACAAACTTTCGCGTTCTGGAAAATAAGCTATATTCTCCTGTTTCGTACCACTAGAGTAACAGGTCTGAACCACCAAGGCTTCTTACTAAATGGAGGCGTGTCATTACAGTGAGTAAACATCTCATGCGCCCTAGTAGTTGAGTGGTGTAATACGCTCATCTTTGCCAATCATTGCCATCTCACCACTGACCCCGAGGGTTCGCACGGGAACTCGGTCAATATGGGTATGCGAGAAAGCTATCAGTAACTTCTTGTGGGTCGGTCGTTCTTTCAAGGTTAATACTCGGATCAATATCGGATCCTTCCTCATACCAGTTAGACTGTTATCCTATCTGAGAAATGGAGCTAAATCCCAAAATAACAATAACATTATATCAGTGTATGCAATAGATTCTGACAAAATTAGAACCTTAAATTATATCCATTCCGGTCTGGAAACAATCCTTTTAGTGAGGAACTAATTGTCTTATTACTGTCAATGGTTATTTTAATGATTCACAAATTTGGTCACATAGAAAAGGTACAAGTACATAATTAAGAACGTGGTTTAGTGTAGAACCACATCGAGGTTGTCTGAGCGATACGGAATGACAACGAAAACAATTGGCACATTTTGTTAAGATTTATGCATTAAAGTAAAGACTAGATATGCACTTTTATGATGTTTTAATGTTTAGATTCATCTCTAAGAGACTAAACCACCATAGGTAGTATTAAAAATCATATTCAAATCAGTGTTACCTACCATTGTCAGAAATCGTTTAATTAGAGGTGTAGCTTACACATCAAAAGACTGCGCAATTACCAAGGTCTTTCTTTTACAACAGAGACACTTTTTATTTTATAACAAATTATACTTAAAGGCTTTCACGAAATATAATATTTCTCTACACGAATATATGGCCACAATTCTCAAACTAATATCCACGTATTTATGATCATGTTCCAATAGTTTGAATACAGAAGAAAGCGCATTCTAAACCAATTGAAATAATGGAAGAAATTCTGCCAAATATAAAAAGTATTGATCTTCATTGCATTAATATTTTATCGGCACAACATCTAACTGTATGTCAGTTTGATTGATATGTTCTATGTAATGCACTCTAAAATGTGCGAAACATGCAACCCATAAGGAGAAATTCAAAACTTTGACAAATGAAGAATACATTCTTTATTTCGAATATAACTTATTCAGTCCTCACCTACTTCGCCACATCCCTTGATATTACACAGTTCCGTATTACAGCACTCATAACACAAGCTCAAATCTGTTGGATCCGATTCTTCCTCGGGAACTGCACCAAAGTCATTTTCCTGCTGAACCCGGTTGAGGACAGTGGAGCTGAGAGTATCTCGTTTTCTTCCAGCAGCCGCACATTTCTGGAACAGTGGTCAAATTTTGCCATTAGTCGTGGAAGCCAGTATTACTGTCAGAGAAGATCACGTAATAAAAGTTTCACCAAAATTCTCGATAATACTTTATGTTTTAGTATTTTATTCATTTTTGGTAACATTTCTTGTGGATACTTCTAAAGTCAGACAGGTACAATAATATAATATTTAAACAACTGACAGTGACTTTAAAGCCTGTTTTGTAAATTGGTTCTGTTATATTGCTTTGTTTCATTTAGTCTATTGTTGTCAACCATTATAAAATCTGTCTTGAATTCCACTAAGCCTTTCACCTGCGGTTGGTGATTTGGTTGTGGCAGATGGGGTCGAATCTCCTTCATCCATGTTGTATGAGTTGTCTAATAGAGTGAATGTGTTTGCTATGATAGGTATCGTATAATCTTGTTCCAACTGAAAACTCTTTTATTTTTTTTTTCAAAATTGATGTTGATACAGAAGCAAGAATGACATCTTGTTATAAAGAAAGCCCACTGTCGCCTTTGATTATTGTTTCCTATGCTTTTTGCTGGAGTGTCTGCAATTTCATTGCATTTTACATTGTGTCTCATGGTGCATTTTCACGTTTGTTTAAAGTGATTTTTCTTGCTGTGAATGTTGGAAAGCGTTTATATTTCATCATTTCTTCCACTTATCATTCACTTGACCCAATACGACAATAAATATTATGTTATGCCCTTAAAATTTCTATTGTGTACATCAACAAATAGTACATATAATCAGCAACAGGTTTGGAAAAATAGGAAATAATTTTCAAATAACATGTCATATCGCAGTCAAGTCATCATTAGTGATTTCTCACTATTTTAAAGGCGGACCGCTCAGATGGCCTAATGGTTAGAGCGTCCGTCCCGGATGCTGTAGGTCGTGGGTTCGATCCCCGGCTGAGACAAACCAAAGGCACAAAAATAGTACAAACAATTGCCTCTCTAGGCGCTCAGCATTAGTAGGTTAGTGTTAGGACTGGTCGGCCACGTGTCATGATATTATGCCTGGGTGGGACTCTGACATTGATACCCCCGTACGAGAAATTAACTGGCACGCTGCAGACATCGTAGCGATATGACTGAAAAATTGTTAAAGCTACGTTAAAAATCCAATTCACACACACAAAAGGCAAACAACACTGAAAATAACGTCTGTTCATTCACGTCATTCACAATTTATCACAGCCTAACCCTTACCTGCTTCACTCAAAGTTAACTGTCTATTTGCAAAACGAAGTACATTGTGGGAATAAAATAAGGTTACGTTTGATCGTAAGATCTTACACTCTTGAAACTGTAATGTATACATCTTCATGTTTTATTATCAAACTATGTAAGTTCAGATATTTCCTACTTGACTCACAATTTTCATTTGTCGGTAAGTCATCCTCTAATCTGCTTTTGGTAAAACGCCATCACAGTTACATACAAGTATCTCAAAATATCAATCTGGCATTTCTTTTAGAAATCCACTATCTGATACAGCAGATCAGACATTCTAATCTCTTCCTGCGTGCACTTACATTCTTCGTACCTTCCTGTCATGCATTGCTTTTAAAACTTGCCTTTTAATTATGTTACGGTTAATCAGGTCATACTCAAAGTTTCGCTTTTGTCAGAAGAAAATGAATATTAGAGTGAAAAGATAATTCTAGTATCATTATGTCATTAACCACTATTGCCGATCAGAATGAAAAGTTCATTTTCCTCAGAGAAAAGAATTTAAACTTAAATTATACTTGCATTTCCATCCATACAGCCAACTTTGTATCGAATGTCACCCGATAATGTCACAAGTGATTCTATGGAACATTGCTGTAAAGTAGAGAAGCTATTATTAACTTAAGAACTTTATACAACAAGATGACTAAAGCATCTTAATGCAAGCAGCTACTAAACTTTGCAAAATGCATTATTCAACGTATTCAATACAATTGAAATAAACACGTACATCGAGTTTCATATATGTGAAAAAAATGATTTTCAATGAACAATTGTTTCATCTAGTGGAGGCCAATATGCATGACATTCACATTTGTGATTAATACAAAAAGTTTCCAATAAACACGAATTATATATATATATATATATATATATATATATATATATATATATATATATATATATATATATAAAGAATACAAATCATATGGCGAATAACAACCCTCTCAAGCGTACTGGATCCACCAAGGGATCACGTTTGTCAGGGATTAATTAAAATAGATGCAATAAACTGACGACGAACAGTACGAAACTAGCAACTAACTAGCCTAAGCGCTTTCGACTCTTAATGAGTCTTTTTCAAAGGCAAATACAAAACATAGTTACGACAAACAAATAAACACAAAAACGTTGCGTTTGTAAACCTCTACATTTCTATCTTCACATGTGCTAAAACTATAAATACAACCAGCTTGTATACACTAGTTGCGGAAACTGAAAACGTTGTATAATTCCCTAAAAGTCTACAAGCCAAAGCGACATCTATTTTTACTTTGTGTACATATGTAACGCAGATTATATCCCGGATATTTGGTTCTATACCGGTTATTCTTATAGTAAAAATTGAAGGATAAGAAGATTTAGAAAATGTTAAATTCTACTAGTGCATAGTTTTCATTTTCTAGTCTTCTTGGTTTAGACCGCTTGGTTTCAATGTTCTAAGGCGGCGTATCCAGTATGATTCCTTTTCCTTCCTGGTTTCGGAACTCCAGCTGTGGTTGTTGGCAATAGCGATAAGTATTATATCACTGAAAGTGTGTATCTGCGTGTATGTGTGTCTGTTTTTGTGCGTACCATGAATCACAATGGGGTAAAACATCCGTTTTCTGTCAGAGATTGATATTTTCAACATTTTCTCGGAAACCAAACAAGGCAGAGAATTTAGTGATATAGTTTCCCGTTGTAGAGAAGTGCTGTACATTCGCTACCAAATATTGCCACCGTCACGAAAATTAGGAAACATCTAAACATCACTTTTTGATATAAAAAAGAACACTAAATGATCTTAATCAAATTTTGGGCAAGGATTAAATAAAGGCCTTACGAACTGGTAAAATTTGTCAGTCATTTGCAATAATATGCAATATGCGAAAACAGAATCGAGAAAACAGTCCAAAGACTGCTTTGCAAAACCTCCTAAACCTGTTGAATTTGATAGAAAACACCATCATATAAATCATATACTTTACAGATATGAAATAGGTGCAACTTAAAATTATTTAAAGCATGAACATTAAAAATCATTTCTTCTGATAAGCAGATGAACAATGTTTAAACAAGCTAGACCCAATTATCTCAAAGTTCGTTTCAAATTGCTTCAAAATTTGTTCATCTCTCATCAAATGTATCCGCTTTAATAAATACAGATAAACCGTTTAAACAGTTTCTCAAGCAGCACTTAACTGGATTTATGTACTTCAGTATGAGGATTTTATATTGTGTACAAATGATACCGATATGTTATCAAATGTTTTAGATGTGTTTATAAAAATAACCTTTAATTTCACAATAAGCACACCGGTCATGTTTAGACGTAGCCGTCTGGAAAGCAATAGCACAGGCAAGATTCACTTAAACAATGCGAGGCAACTGTTATTGTGTCCTAGAACCTGAGAATTAGAATAATTGCGTTTGCAAAGTGGAAGACGTTCAATCAGATTGATACCCGTCCAAGAAAAAAAAAACGATATTGATGATATTAATCGTTTGGAGCAAGTCTCTAATTGAATAGATAAATCTAAATATTGTCGCATTTCTCACAAGCTTCTTTTTCATGAAACAAATTTTATGTTCTGCTTTTAGTTTGTTCTACTGTTTCAGCAGTCACTGTATTTTATTTTGTTTTTGTTTTCGTTAATGATTTTATCCTTAATATGATGACTTAGAACGATAAAATTAAAAACAGAAAATTAAGTGATTAATTCCTTGTCTATTCTTTCTTTTCCACTTAATATCATCGATTTCTTTAACACTTCCTTCATATTTGTAAAGTTATAAATATTGTCAATAATGATTATAATACATCATCAAGTTTGTTTCCAATACTAAGTTTTTAATTAGCTCCAAATACTTTGAATATTTTCTAGATTGTCGCTCTGTTTTCAATGCTGCAAGCGTTCATCCGTATCAGCCTTGAATTCAAGCCGTTATATAATGTATATATGCCGGATGTATATTTTTTTTTCAGATGAGTTCTTAAATTTCAAATATTTATTGCTGAGTGAATGGAATAAGAACGATGCTTAGGAATGCAGATTTAAAAAACATGGAAAAACAGCAACAAAAGTAACTAATTGATACGAAAAGTACCTATTACAAAACTTTAAATTGTAACATTTTATTACAAATGGTAATATGGTTTAGTATTAAGTTTCTCTTTTTTTATTTCGTTTCAATTATATCATTACATATACACGTTTGTCTGCAAAGCAATGCCAACCATACATGTTATAAACGTAGAATAATAAAGCTTCACAATAATCTCAAAAGTTGTTTATTGATATTAATATTGACAACTAAAGTATTACTTAGAAACCCTCGTTCATATTTTCCAATACAAATCCAGTAATCTATACATAATGTGTTGGTCTGGCTGTATTATGATGATCTCATTTCCAAGTTACTAACCAAAAAACAATGATGGGAGAGAGAGAATCTCGTAGGAACGCCTTGTCAAATGTAGAGGCATTATCTGAAAATTTGGAGGTACGATTGTTGGGATCCTGTACACAGCATCATTTAAATATGCTGCATAGATACTGGTCACAATAATGACATTTTACTCTCTCTCTCTCTCTCTCTCTCTCTCTCTCTCTCTCTCTCTCTCTCTCTCTCTCTCTCTCTCTCTCTCTCTCTCTCTCTCTCTCTCTCTCTCTCTCTCTCTCTCTCTCTCTGTGTGCCAGGTCGCAGAGAGAGGTCTGAGCTAGACAATAGATACATGTTGTGCCAATGTACACCATAGGACAAGTATTCAATCAATTTTTGTAGTTTTGTAGATGCTACCATAAAACAAGAGTAAAACTAAAGAGAATAATTAATGAAATTAAAGCTGTACAAAAGGAAAAATGGATGTTGCTTAAACAAATCTTCTCGATAATTAATGTACTATGTAAGGTTGCTAGGACATTTTTGTCATGGTGTGGAATATAATCATGTTTTGACTCGGCTAATGTAACATTCATTAGGAAATTATTTTGGTCCGTAAAATGGGAAATATGATTCCATTCTCATTTTACTACAAAATTGTTGTTATTTAATACTGAATATCCTAGTAGCAATTTTCTCGTAGCCTAACGTGCCACAATGAATATGACTTTAAAGTTCAGAAGGAAAGGGTAATGATTCCTCAGGTTGTGGCAAGAAAATGTGTAAACCTTTTTTTTCTCTTGGCTTTTATTTTTGCTTCTTCTTCTCATTTGGTTTTTATTTGGGAAATTGGTGGGTGGCAGTTTCTCTGTATAAGCTATGTTTCTTTATTATAGAACTCTCAACAGCAAATCCAGTTGTTTTTTTTATTATATCCAACAACGTGCTCGGTTACTCTTTACATCCTTACAACCGACAAAAAAGATGCCTAGTATTTAAATTATAGTGACTGTCACAATAAATATTTTACAAGCAGTTGAACAGTACCTCATGAATGCCACATTCCTGTACGTTTTCACAATCACGTGGTCTAGCAGTGTCTGTGCAGCTGAGGCATTTTATGGAATCTGAAATTTTCAAACAAAATAAAAGCAAAAGACGTTGTTATCTTTGAAAGCAATTTTACCGAATTTTTATTTAAGAGCAAATTTATCGTTGATTAAAACGCTGGTTATTTTATGGTGAATTTTCTGAATAGCCAGTAGTATGTTGTGAGCTGCCTTTATCCCAGCCATTATTTGAAGATATACTTTATCAT